TCATGCAATCCGCAGTCATTTCTGTTTTCTAGACCTCGAATTCCAAATCGGCGCTCGGCGTCTCTTCAGAGACAAGGAACAAGGGCCCCCTCCTATCTAGCTAATGTCAATTTTTCCGAGCATTCGCGATCAACGGTGCAATGGATGGGGCGGCAAGGGCCATGGTTCATCAACTCTCCATGTCCCTGTCTGGCGAAGTTCCAGGAGGCGCTTGGCGGCAGATCCCTCGGGCCCTTCGCGTTCGCGATGGGGTGCTCGATGCGAAAGTAAGGGCCGCCGCTAATGTAGGGCGAAATATTGCCCATCTTGGCTGCGTAATCGCTCGCCGGCCAAGTTGCCGCGGGGAGATCCGTTCCGTCCGCGGTGAGGTTCCCCCCCAAATCTGCCATCCATCTCTCGGCGCGATTGCGATGCCCCCCGCATTTGGCCACGTGGGCGCGCGGAGAGGATGGCGTTTCATATGTGCCCCGTTGGATTCAAATGCCATCGGATGGTAGGCCGCCGGTCGGCCACCTTGGTATTGTCAGTCCAGACGTTGTATGCCATGAGCCTCTGTCTGGGTGTTTCAAATCGAAAATCTGGCGAATGTGTGTAAGGCGGAAGGCTGGTGGCATTCTTTGCCTTCCACGAGGGAAGCGTGCGCATTTGTCTGGCAAGACAAGGCGTGCTTGCATTTGACTTTGCCATCCTCAAGCTGTCCTTCAACCATTGCTTTTAATCCTGTTTGCGGTGTGCCACATTCACCGGTGCGCGTTCGTTCCAAGCGGACGCGAAGGTCCTGGCTGGTGCAACCACCTTCATGAAGGGGAAGTCCTGGCCGTGGCGCTTCGCCCGTAGGATGGGGGCCCGTGGAGCCACCGGTCCAGCCGCGCCCGTTCCCTATCGATCTCGGCCACCAGATGGTTGGGTGCTCGGGGTGGGTGGTCTCCTCGGGCCCAGATCGCATCCCGATTGAAGTCGCTGTCAACGAGCCGCCCGCATGGTCTCCGCCAGTCCGGCCCCATCAGGAATAGCCGTTCATTTTCCACCGCCTGGATCCATATCCGGAGGCGCGAATTCCTCCGAGCCCGCCCGTGGAGGTAGCAGATCTGCGCGGGCGCAGAATCTATCCATCGATGAGGTGCCCCCCCAAGGCGTCGAGCAGGGCGAGGGCTTCGGACGCGAAGAACTGGGCCGTGAGCTTTTTGGCCGACGTCCAGGAAGTCCCGAAGGTCAGGTGCGCCAACCAGTCTGGCAGGGTCAGGGCCTTCAGAAACGTCCAAAACCCCAGCCCACATGGGAAGTCTCCCGCGCCTCGAGAACGCCCCCCCGACGCCTCCGGGCACTGCGAGCCACCCCCCGCCAGGATTCCCCCTCCGGGTGGGGCGCTGGATTGTTCAGTGCGCAAGCCCCTGAGCCCTAGTATGATTACGTCGGGTCTTCATCACTGCTGCTGCTGCGCTGCTGTGCATCATTCAACCTCTGAACTGATACTGCACTTGGTCTTAGTCAAACCCTAGAGTACATCTGAGTTCTCACTATCATTCTAGTCTCTAAGATCTAGCTATCCAGATCTTCCAAACCGAAACGAACAAAAAAGACAAAGCACGAGCAGGCCGGAGTAGCGGCCTCATACACTACATTGATGCTGAACTCGACCCAGTCGCGGTCGAGGGTGCTGAATTCGGTCCAGTCGTGGCCGATGGAGAGGAATATTCCCATCTCCAGATATCAGCACACACATACATGTATATATATATGTAAGTATACACATATATATATATTCACACATATATATATATATATATATATATATATATTTATCACAACCAATCACTGCTGACAATGTCGCTCATGCTCACTCGCCGAATGCTACATTCGTCTCACCAAACAGTATCAACAACGTTCTATGTTCTCGAGGTCGCTCTCTGTGAAATTCCCAGGTCGATATGCGATTCGCTCACATGTGATCACTTTCTTGTTCGCTGTGAACCTGGCCACCCGTCGTCAGCATTAACATTAACTGAGGAAAGACACCAGGCTTGGTCAGCGCGTCGGCGATCATCACATCCGTGGGAATATGCATACTGTAGCGCATTCTGCGTGGCATCCTCTCCTCTCTGAGTGCCATGGCTGCCAATCGTTGCTGTTTGTCCTGAGGCACTCCTTTAAGGTCAGTCACCAGTTCGACCATGTCCTTGCAGTCCGTTAAATGGTCGATCGGTGCAATATACTGTCCATTCAAGCTCATGTCGATCAAGACTGCTATCTTTTGACGTGTCGTACCCTTCAGTGCAACTACCATTTCTGTCATCAGTATTGCCGCCGTCTGAGCTCCATTCACCACTGCCAACCCGCAATTCGCCTTGCCCATCGAGGTCGTGTGTGCCACCTTCTTCGCCTTGCTGCTGATGGCCGTCAGTATATGACACTTGCCTGACATCGCGGCCGCGCTCGCAGGAGTCAGAATATGTTCGTCGCTTATCATCAAAACCCTGTCTTCCATGAGAAGCGCGAGCTGGCCTTCTTAAGGATATACTGAGGTCTTCGTCGTATGATTGGCGTCACCAATCGCTCTCAAGCAGAAGGGTGGTGTCATCCTCGGATCGTGCAGTCCAACCAGTGAGGTCCCTTGTCGTGCTCGCTTCAGTCGTGCATTCGCTGGCTTGAGATGGACAGTATTCGGCTCATTGTTGAAACCTTGCAGTTGCGTCACCTCTGTCATGATATGAATGTTGCACTGGCGCAAGAACAGCATTGATGTGATAATACTCCTGAAGACATGTGCATACTGTCCAATTACCATCTTCTCGTCGTGTCCTTCAGGGTTCTCGCAGAATGCTATCTTTTGCGGATGGTCGACCTGTTGCAGTATAGCCGTTCTATTGGCCAATATCTTGTACTGCGCGCCGTTGTGTGTGAACGGTAGCTGCTGCCTCTTCACTGCTCCGAACTTACCCTCCAGAAGCTTGATGACATCGCTCTGCGTCCTGGCTCGAGCTGCTGCCAGCAAGTCGTCCACGTGTATCGCAACTCCATCTGTCGCCTTCTCCTCCTCGTGTGCGTCACGTTCTCGGTCGGGTAGGTCATCGTGGGTCCGGTAGACGAAGTTCTCATCCCATCGACTCACTCGCGCTCGAAGAACGTCCACTAAAGATGCGGTGCGTCGACTAGCCCATACATAGGCTTGAGAAGCTCCGAGATGAACATCTGGATGTCCCGGCTCTTCGCGTGGATCTCGCTGCCGGGTAGCACATCCAGCAGTCTCCATGTAATGCTCGGTGGAAGCAGATCGACCTTCCGCACCGTCTCACAGTCGATCTTGAGCTCCTTGGAGCGACGATGGATCTCGTCAAAGCTCAGGCCCTGTAGGAAGGCCGTGCTGATGTTCCAGCTTTCGAGTGCTGCTGTGCCGTCGAGACAATCAACTTCTGGCTCAACCTGCTGGCAGTACTCGAGTGTCGCTGTACCTCGTGCTTCTGCTTGTCAAGGAAGCCTCGCCCGCGCAATCTGCTATTCACGTTCCACTCCTTGGATTTGGCAGCGTCCTTCCACTTCCTGACCCACGCAGCGTCGATAGCGTTCGTGCTTGAAAGGGATCGCCTGGCTCGACAGGCAACGACCTTGTGGTCAACGAAGGCCGCCAGTTCCTTCGAGTCTGCCTCCTCGGCCTTCGTCCAGCGAGTCAGGATGTCTTCTTCTGTCAGTGCATCCGGCTCCTTGGCCCCGATGTGACACTGCACTTCAGCTGTCCGAAGACAAAAAAGAAAGCAACTGTTCCGTCGCCGAGGGCCTCTGAACGTCCAGAGAGCTTCAGTCGCATTCCATGGCAGATCGCCTTCTCGTAGGCCTGAGATATAAGCGTCTGCTCGATTGCGCTCCTCAACCATCGTCGCGACAGGGTCGTCGAGATATGCTTCCTTGGTGTCGTTTATCATGTGCATGTCGTTGTCGTCATGCTCGATCGCACTGTGCAGCACATTGTGCCTGGGGAAGAAATCTTCATCTTCAACTGGATGCGGATCCTTCTGCTGTTGAGATGATTCATCCAATATTCGTTCGAGATCGCCCGTCAGATCAATGGCCGGATCCGCTGGTTCCAGAACTGCAGGTGGGCCATGTGGTTCTGGTTGGGTCTCGTCACGTCAGCGTCTTGAGGAGGAGGTTGTCCGCCTTCTGCCTGTGGTCCTGCCTCATGCGGGGGTGCGTGGCCGTGATCATCTCGGTTCTGCCAGATCCGCTCCTCGCTGTCATCAAGACGTCGACGCTGAGTCCCTGGCAGGAGGCTCGTATAAACATGATCTCCAAGCTCAGTGTTGCTGCGCTTCTCTCTTCCCACAATCGGTTGCTCCAGAATCTCGCTCAGCGGCTTTTGTGCATTCATTTTTTCGTCAATAAGCTTGCTGAGGTCTTTCGTGAGATCCAGAATTGCGTCGGTCGGCTCCAGGACAATAAGTCGTCCATGTGGTTCTGGTCGATCCTGTGCTGTTGATGTTGTCAGAGCTTCCGTCGCTGGTGTCGAATCTAGTCGTGTTGGTTCCGTCGCTGTCGGTGCTGCAGCAGTAGGTGTCCTTGTGTTCTTGCGCTCCGGCTCGCTCCAGAACGCGATCGGGTTCTCGTGTGAGGTCCATTGTGTCGTCCATGGTATGATCTGATGTTGGCACACTCCTGATGTCCTCATTGACCCGCACTGTTCCTGGTTCATGTCGCGGAGGCTGAGGAAACTGAGGCACTTGTTGTACAGGAGGTGCCTGTCGTGGTGTCTGTCCGTGTACTGGTAGCGCACGTGGCGTCGACGGTATCAGCTGTGCTCGCGGCGGTTCCCGAAAACTCTGCGTCGGTACAAGTGCAGTCGCCGGTTGAGCTGCCGCTGGAGGTGCCAAGGGAGCTCCAGCTCTTGATCACCAAGCCTCAGAGGAGGTAGTACATGCTGTGGCCGATGTCCAGGATCCCACGGTCTCGTGCGAGGGTCTGCCGTCTGTGGTCCAGGAACCACTGCCTGAGCGTCGCAAGAGATGGGCCTGTCGACCTCCGCCGGATGCTGTATTACCTGCGTCTGGTCCAGCATCGTCTTGTCGTGATTCACTGTCTTGTTGTGCATCGCAGCCGCCAGATCAGACATCCAATCGTCCATGTCGGGAATCAGACTGATCATTTCTGCCGCGTCGCGGTCGACATCGCTGACCGACTCTGGGGCAGAATCGATGTGATATAGGTCATCAGTGTTCGGCTGCGAGTGTTCGTCCAGAAAAGGGTCCGTCTGAGTCGATAGTGAATAGAAAACAAGGAAGGATGCGTTCTCCCACTTAATCTCGCTCAGGTTGTTGATCGCGACGCCTTTACTAGGACCTATCTCATAGGCCACATGCTTGGAAGGGTCGCTGCGCTCCCAGAGTACTATGAGGCCATGTCGAACTTCATGTAGTGCCGGTGCTCGCCGCAGAAAGGTGCCGCACAAGACTCCGTACAAGTTCTTGAGCTGAAATAGCCGCTGGCAGGTGAGCATGCGTAGCTTCCAAGGCTGGATGGCGATCAGAGTCTTGACATCTGGTGAGCACCCAACTTTCCATTCTGATCCACTGTCTTGCCCGGTCGTGTGCTATCCGTATGTGCTACCATCGACGATGTCCATGAGCTTCCTGAAGGTGTTGATTCGCATCGCCCCTAGTAGCGTGGTATCGCCAACCTGATATACCATGAAATTGGCCACATGCCTCCTCGAATATCGAACCGGTGCAATGTAGGGAATTTCGTTCCAAACCTCAATCGCCGTACCTTCCGTGACCTTGACCAACTCTGCTGGGCCGCGCCAGCCAGACTGGTCCTTCCGCTCGGGAATTCGGTAGATGTCCACGCTGTCTCCAGGTTTCATCTTCTGCTCGGGTCCATGCTGCTGTACTCGAGTGCGGTTCGCTCTGGCGATCCTGTCCTCCACGATCGCCCTGGCCATCTCCGACTTGGCGAGAAGTCGAAGGCGCACTGCCGCCTCGAACGGATCAGGGCAGCTCGTGGTCGCACTCTGTACCGAGTCCAACCTGGTCGCCTCCAAGTCGTAGTAGTCGCTGGGAATGAAGCCCAGAACGACCTGTGATTCAGTCTGGCCCGCGTAGCTGACCATGCTGTTGGACACCATGGCGGCCTCCTGCACTAGGTCGATCTCGGAGACCTCAAAGCCCTGCAGCGTGCATGTCCTCCTGAGCGTCATGGCACACAGACGAACTAGCTGGTTCCATCTCTCCACGAGCCCAGTCATAATGTGATCGTCGGTGCCAGCATAGCGTCTCTTGATATTCAGCTTGTCGCGGGTCCTCGACGGCAGCTCTGAGACTGGGCCTCCTTCTCGATCAAGGATCATAATCTGCATTGGCCCAGAGTAGCAGATCCAGATACGCATGATGGTCGTCAACAACTCCTTCGGTGTTCTGTCTGCCGCAACGTCCGCCACTTCATATCTCGAGATTTCGTCGATTCTTAGGATCCACGTCTTGTCCCACATGAAAAAAACAAGTCAAGCTGAACTCGGTGATTGAATCGTAGGGGTATCGTAATTCCTGCCTGTGGTTTCGTCATCGGTCTCGCGTGGTCTCTGCATATGGAGCATGCCTGCGTAACCCAAGCAATCACCGCGCTGATGGTCTTCGTCCAACACTCCGCGCTTTTAAGAAACACGATCATGTCCGGCCCGGGAGCGTGCCAGAATCGGATGTGGAAGCCCAACAGGAGGTGCATGAGCTCCTTCTTGTCGGTGGTCTCCTTTAACCTGGTGACATTTTTGCTGGGATCGAAATTCGGCTTCACATCGTGCCATTTCTCCATGGCGATCTCGGGTTCCTTCTTGATGTCCCACCTCTCCTTCTTAGGAGGAGCTACAGCATGAGGTGCAAGCGCTGGAGGTGGTGCAACCTCTGCGCCCAGTACCTCCGGAAAAGCTCGAGATGCCTGCTGTTCATCGCCGTGAGGTAGAGACTCCAGTGATATAATGGCCGGCTCGTCCTCACCGCGCTCTACCTTGACAGCAGGTAGGTCCTCATCTTCCTCCTTCTTCATCGCTGGCTCGTTCTCGTCACTCTTGCTCTCTTGTTCGACTTGGGCTGGTGCCGGTGGAGCCGCTGCCTCTGGTACTGCTGGATCGTCATCATATTGTTGCTCTTCTGATGGTGCTGCTGCGGGTGCCTTCTTCTTCTCCTCTGCTCTCTGTGCTGCCAGCGGTGGTGCAAGTTTGCAGTTGCCTGGCTTCCTGGTGTGTTCTTTGTCGGTCTTCGTGCCAAGTCTGCAACGTTCGCATCCCCAGTAGACGCGCGCGCGGACCAGGCGGAATGTCCTTCATGATGCCATCGCAGAAGTTCCTGGGATACACCGCTGCCTTGGCTGTCCGCTTGATGCCGTCTACCGCTCATTCGAGGCGCCGAAGGCGCACTGATCCGTCGTGTAAGTCTTCATGACACCGCTGTCGACTGTCAGTGAGAAATCCGACTTGTCCCAGAAATCGCTGTTGTTAAGCTTCTCAATTGCATGTCGCTAATCGTCGCTCTTGGAATCGCTGATATCCTTGTTCGTAATCTGATCGTCGGTGTCTGGTGACTTCGCTCCGTCTGGAGAGCCTTTGTATCCTTATGTCTGCTGGCGATCGACCATGGCATGCACGTCGGTGACCAGAAGGTGACTGATATCTTGCAAACTCGTTGAAGATGCTGAAGGTGGTTCTGATTGTGTGAATTCGCCATGTTCCAGCCATATCGGTAATCTACGGGAAAGCCTACTAGAATACCTTGAGTATATGCACGATGACTGAGACGACCGCTGCCTGACATTCGTGCTTGCATGTCAACATGCGAGATGCCCATGAGCTTCAACCACCTCGTGTAATTCTCGGGCGTCACCACTGGCAGCTGGGTTTCGAAGTAGAACTCCTCAGGCATAACTCGGTCGATTCCTTCCATGTATTTCTTCGTGCCATCGTCGAAATCATGCGGCCAGAGATTCGTGCCGTTCCACTTCGTCGTCTCAAAAGATCTCCATGGCTGGTTGTAGGCCTTGCCGGTCATATGCTCGCCGTAGTGTCGTTCACTTTCGCTTCTGGTGTGTCGAATCTCACTCTCATTCCACTCTCTGAGGTCTGAGCTTCTGAGTCGTCGTTCACACCAGTCGTCAGTGTCACGCCAGAAGCAGCTGGAGTCACCATCTCCATCTTCCCGTTGGGTTTCACACTATGCGAGTCAGGTACATGGGTGCTCAAACGCCGCCGCTGGCTCGGCTCGCCAACAGCAGCTGGAGTCACCGTCTCCATCTTCCCGCTGCGCGTTCCGCCATGCGAGTCAGGTGCATCGGTTCTCAACCGCTGCTGCTGGTTCGGTTCGTCATTCTGAAAGGAAAGAGAAGCTTCCGTGCTTGATGCTCCGATGCCTTCGCCGTCCATTATCCTATCCATGTATGATCTCGCTGCTCGTCGGAGTCGGTCTCGTTCCTTCCATGTTCCAGCACTCGGGTCATCAATCGGTAGGATGTATTGTCCAAATTCCGTGTAACGAGCTCGCATGAATGTTGTCGGTCGCAGCTCATTGCCGAGGCCGTCCAGGCTGTTGATGATGAGTACTCCATCCTTGTTCGGCAAGATGCCCGTCAGGAGGCCCATCGTGTTGTTGATCATGCTTTCCAGCGGCATTAGTAATGGGCATCTGCTGCCGGTGCCGCCTAGCATGTCCATAGTGAAGCTGCTGTTCGGCAGAGCCTCCAAGTTCAGGGGTAGCTTCCCAAGTCCAAGATGGATTGGCCACTCCGTCGATTCCAGAAAGCTTCGCTGCCGAGCTCGTCATTTCCAACTGCTGACCTTTGGGCCAGAGCAGCACTTCACAAACTTCACGAAGAGTCTCTGTGCCTCCTAGACCCTTGGCGGCGCACGGGTCAATGATGGGGCCCAGCCGCCCTTCTCCTCGAACCGTATGGTATGAAAATGCCTTGCCGGCACCGCTGTTGTCATCGTCATCTCCAAGGGAGACGTGCCTACTCAGCAGTGAGGTGTGCAGCGAGTCCGAGCATATCCTTTCTGCGGTGAGCCAGGTGTTCGTGCCGATAATGTAGCCTCTGGAGATCTGGCTCGTATCCGTTGTTGCTGGTCCGGGTCGTCGTCGCCCTCTGTGATCGTCGTCTGCTGCACAGGTCTCGAAGGAAAGTCAATCTTAGAAGGCTGATATCCGAACTTCGTGTAGATGTCTGCGTCGATGTCGTGGTCGTGCGGTCCGAGCCGCTGCCGAAGGGGTTGAGGGGTTGTTATTCGTCTACTCCTTTTTGTACCTCTGGAATAGAGTCCAGGAGAGATGTCTTGACTGTCATTGGTCTTTTGCCTGGATGATCTCCATGTTGCTGTCCTTTCTTGAAGCCTTTCTTGGTTCCTGTCCAGTAGAGCTGCGATGGGTATTCATATCCCTGATCGTCCTCATGCTGACATGCTTTGTGATAGACATCTGCCGCTCGCTCACTGAGGAATGACTCGCATTCGTAATGATCGTACTCGTCCATTCTGTAGGTTGGGCAGTCGAAGTACTGCGTCTCATCTGTGCGTCTGGAACCTCTTCGCGCATGGGATGTGGAGAACGGTCAGCAGGCGTCTGAGGCATGCCCCAAGGGCCTGCACTCGATGATGCTGAGGATGGTGGCGCCTCCTTCCGCGGCAGTTCCTCGTGGGCGTGCAGGTTGAGTTTGATATCATCTTGAGTGCCATCTGCGTGCGAACCAACCGCCGATGCGAATCCATGCTCACCTTGTTTTTGTTCGCTGCCACGTCCTTGTCCTTGTGGAGGTTGTCCTTCGTTCGCCGGGCAGTCCGCGTTCTTGTGCCACTTGGAACCACCGGCGCTGCATCCATTGCTGCCGCTGTCGCCGCCGCCTGACTTTCGGCACTTGGTGCTCATCTAGCCGCTGCTTTTTCCGCCCCAGTGTGCTTGATGATCGTCCTCGTACTGGCTACTGCTCCATCGTCCTTTACCTCGTCCTTTTCCTCCAGATCCGCGTCCTTTTGATCGTCCTCGTCGATTGCCTCTGCTTTTACTCTTGCCTTTGCCTTTTCAAGGATAATTGCCGCCAAATCTGTATCGAGGTCGAAAACCTCACATCTGGTATGCTTGGTCCAGCTCCGCGTCGTCAACCCATGCCTCTATGTCTTCTGCCTCATACCAAATGCCGTCGTCGTCGTATGCCCCGTAACTTCCATCACCGTTCTCTGTCCAATACTCTCTGCAGTGCAGACCGCTTTCCTCGTCATAGGTCCAATATATCAGCTCGCCGTCTTCGTGTCCAACACGTGCTCGGTCTCATTCTGTTCCTCCATCTAGTGAGTGCCTGAGCTGCCTGTGTTCATCTCCGACTTGGCGATTACGTGTGAGCATTGAGTGCACTGTCTGGAACTGATCCAAGTCTCCATCTATATGCAACTTGATGTCGGCGATGCACCTCGTCGGTAATCCACTCCATGTGAACAGCATGTGTGTCAATCCGACGTTGCTGATCGTCAAATTCGCCTTGTCGTTCGCATCTGTGTATCGCTCTCTGAAGTTCAGCAAGTACTCCTGCAGGGTCTGATTGCCACGTCGAGTGTCTAGAAGTCTGTCCAAGAAATCACACTGCTTATCTTGATCGTCTGCTTCGAATGCTTCCGTCAGCCTCTGCATCAAGTGCCCTGCTCCTGATATGTCTGCTTCGACTATGATATTGCCTGCTGCATCTCGCTCTTCGTCAACTCTAGGCCATGCGAGGGCTGCGTCTTCTTTGTACTTCTGGTCACCTCTCGTCACCTCCAGACTCATCGCAATAGTGAGTGCTCGATCCAGAAGTCTGGACGCCATGCTTGGTCCAGCCTCTCGCTCATCCAGCGGCGTCAGCCGCCACCAGAGATGCAACCTCTGCATATAGGCCTTGAAGGGGCATGAATCGTCGAAAGGTGTCCATCCTGGGGGAACATATCGGGTGAACTCCTGCAATCGATCTGGATGTTTGTAATCAGCCATTGTCTCTTGTCGCAGTCGTGCTCGAGAATAAGTCCAACGCACGCGCGCAGCCTGATTGGCTGCTGTCGGGGGGCGAAGAAGATATCCGCGAAAACCTTGTCCTGTCTATCTCTGCGGAGATGCCGTTCTTCTTGCAGATGCTCTCGTGCTTCTCCTCGAAGGCGCTGGCCTTCGCGAGGTAGTGGCTGACCTCCGCTGGGAAGGTCCACGCGGAGCGCTGCGTTGGCAACGCGTGGCCGAGGATCTGCTCCTCGAGGTAGCGCCTGGCGGCGCCGGGTGCGCGCGATGGGGCCGCGCGCGTGGTATGG